ACTATCACTATCACAATAGATGTTATCACTGGAGATGCCGCGGACAGACTGAGGCGGGTGGGAGGGTAGGCCCTCTATTTATAGTCTGCGAGTAAAGAGGAGAGCAGAGAAAGTGAGAGCGAGAGCGCGAGAGTTAAAGTCATATCTCTGGAGGTACGCGAGAGGGATAGAGAGCAGAGATGCACAGAGAGAGGGATAAGCATAGATTTAACGATCGTTCCAATGGCAGCTATATGATATAGTCGTTCGATCCGATCCGTTCCTAACTATATATTTGTGATAGTTAAAATAAATTAATAGCTTTAAAACTAATATCTATATATATAGATATACTCGTTCAATCTGATCCATTCCTAATTATATATTAGTAGTAAATAAAAAATAGTAAATATAAATAAATAGCTTTAAACCTAATATCATATGATTAACATATTTTTTCACTCTCCTAGATAGATAGATTAACTATATAAATAGAAAACTAGCACACTCTATTATTTCTCCCAATGTAAGACTCCTGCAGGGGTAATGGGGAAGCTGGGACAGGTTAACATGGCCAGAGCAAAGCAGAGAAAGGAGCAGCAACAAAAGGGGTGGGCGAGGGGAAAGCAAGAGGATCTACACAATAGCAAACGCTTTGGGCCAATTGTAGGGACAAACTGACATTGCCATTCCACCTGCATTCCCCTCTCTCTCTCTCTCTCTCTCTCTCTCCCTCTCTCTCTCCACAAGTGGCTGCTTGGCTATGCTGCTGGTTGAAGTCTCCTAGAAACCTCCCCTACTCCTTGAACCCCTCCCCTGCGGCTGCTGGTGCCTTTGTTTTGCTTTGCAAAACTCTCAGCAATTTTGTGGTTGCCTTTGTCTCGAGTTTGGTCCATTCATTGACAGCTCCTAATGCAATCTCACCTTGTGCTCGAGCACATTATAAAGTTATCCAGAATCTCTGGGGGACGGCAATGGCGACGACGACGCTTGTGGGCCAATTATCGGCTAAATATAATCGCGATATCCGATAAACCGATTGGCCCCGCAACCGCCAGCCGTAACATTTTCCACTCGATTGATCTGCTGTCAAAAACAATATGGAAAGCCAACAGGATTATGCCCGATGCCAGGGCCGATACGGTTAACATTAACGTTAACTTGGCAATCCTTCGCTCCTTCGCCCTCCCAAGGCAAATATTTGGCTGTCCGGAAAGATGGGGGTCCTTTGGGGCCACCCTTATTTTGCCTTTGTTTACTTACCTGCGAATATCGATAAATGTATCTATGCAAATGTGGAAGTGGATCATAAATCATCCAAAGTCGAAGACAGCAACAAAATCCGTAGGCGACCGTAAAGCAGGAAGTCACTGAGGATTGAGAAATTATCATAAAAGTTTAAGTGCTTAATTCATTTGTAATTTCTCGCAGACAGTAAGGAAGGGAGAAGCGAAGAAATTGAGATTATCTGATTGTGCTGGATGAGCTTAATCCCTTGCTAACTACTGTGCCAACTTTCGGTTGCATCCTGTGCGTACTTTCCATGCAATTGGCCACAGTAATTTCACTTTGGCTTACTGTTTTCCCACCCCTGTTTTCCCCCACCCCCTCTGAAACACCATTTCCGACACTTCTACACACACATTCACATCCGATTAGCAATTTCCATGCACTTGAGAGATTTCATTAGCCACTGTCGTTGTTGTTTTCACTTTGGCATTGCGTGTGCTTTTCTACTGCTGCTCTTCTGCTACTCTCCCATTCGTTCTCTGATTTTTCCCCAACTTCCTTGGCACAGGAAAAAATTACGCTTTTCACCGATTACATTCAATGGCTTTTACGTTTCCAAGAGAATCTTATTTCAAATGAATCAATCAAGGTATTTCGCAGGAATGTACACATGGTTAGAAGCTCTCAGAGCTCATTTTAACAGTTCAAAAAAATGCTATTGTTTTTCAAAGAAATTGTTATTAGAAATCATTTTCAGAATTCCAATACAAGCTGAAATGTTTAATTTAAGGGTGTAGTTCTTAGAAATATTTATCTAGTAGTCAGGTTTTTGCTGAATTTATTTTAATTATACTATCAATGGTGGAATATTTATTTTGTAATCAATACTCAAAGCTTACTATGCATTTTAGCATTTAATTTCCCAATTTCCCAATTTAAATAACCAATGATATATAATATATGTATACTTGGGGTATTAGTATTTCCCCCAATTTCCTCCAAGAAAATAATAATTATTACCTAGACATAATTACAAATATATTTACTATAAAATACCTTAATGTCTCTTTTAAACAGCATAAATATTTTCCAAAGTGCCTCAAAAATGTTTGGTGCTCCACTTTCCTTGCTTCCTATCGCACTTGAGGAGCACTTTCCATGCATTTAAACAATTTCCCTGTTATATTCCATTTTACAAATGTTTTTTCTTCACCCACCACCGACCACCCGGTGTGTCTTGAATTTTCCCTGTTGTTGTCAAAAATGTTGATGAAAATTTCATAAATTTATTTGCTGTTTTTCTTCTAGTTTCCTGTTGATGTTGTTGCTTTCCCAAGCCCCCCAAACCCCCTTTCCCAGTTCTTATTGTTGTTGTTGCACTTCATTCGTTCATACGCTTCTGAGCCATTAGCTACGCCACTCGCAAAGGGGAGGGAGGGTGGTTGGGAGGCGGTGTGTGTGCCACACAAGTGTGTTCTTGGAGGAAGCCAAGTTGCACATATCGTAAAATATTTAACGCTTTTAGGAGTCCTGCAGTCATGGCCAGGTACCTGCTATAAGTTGCTCAGGTCCGCTCGGTGCGTATTGTAAGTCATTTTCATCCGCTTACCAGACGGGTGGCCATTTGTCTAAGTCTTCCCACATGGCTGCCAGCATTTCATATTGAATTTTTCAATAACACAAGCACACATTCAATATGCAGAGAGAGAAAAATTGCAGTCCGAATTTGAATAATAAAATAATTTAGACAATGCATTTTTAAGTTGTATTATATGATTAATATATCATTGCCTGTCTCAGTTGTCTTGACTTTACGAAGTCTTTACAAGTAGTTCTACATGTTTATCTAATATTTCTGGCTCTCTATCACTCTCTCTTATCCATTTAAGTTGTCTCAAAATATTACCTCTTTAATTCCCAAAACCTATTATATTTAATGAAAATTCATACCTGTTTAAATTGTTCCTAGAAATATAATTACGTAAATATTATTAAGCCACGTGGTGGTAAGGCTGTCATAAAGATACAGCAAAGTGTCAATGAAATCTCAAGCAACCTGATTGAAACCTATAATTAAATATTCCCAAAATACTCGGAAACATCCTAAAAGTAATTTAACTCCAAAGATATTTTGCAAACCTCTTGTCTTTAAAGGATAGACAGCTTCCAGGAACATCCCACTTATTGATTTTCAGCTCGTATCTTCACTCGTGCTTGCGCTCAATATTAATAAGTTGATGATTCGATTTAGACAGAGTTCTTTTTTTGTATTTCTTTCCATGTACCCATACTTATGGTCGCATCAGGTGAAGGCTCTGGAAAATATCGATGTATGAATATTCTGACCTTTCCCCAATAAATTCTCGGGGCAACGCATCGAATCGGACGTGATTTTCGCTTCACGCACGCATGCCGCACCTAAACAGGGGAGTTAGTTTCATTTAGAGGGGTGGCTCAAAAGGGGGTGTGGCCCGGGATTGCTTACGTTGTCCCATAGTCCCCACCGAAACCCCCGCACCCTCCACCCCTGCTTTCTCCCCGTGCCCCCCGTGTTTTTTGGCCATCCTGTTTTCTATGTCATGGCACGTATTTTGGATTTCTGCTACATTTGAACTTAATATTTTCCCTCTCGGTCTGGCTCACTTTTCGGGCGAAAATGTGAATGTGTGTGCTAGCTGGAAATTTGCTCGCTTTTTTTGGCAACATCTCTGTTTTAGCCTGGGGAATTTCTTTGGCGTGTTAATGCCTTTTGGCTATCAATTGGCCATTATGTGCCAGGGGTTTGGGGGCTCAAAGTCCTGTGTCCCGGTTCCTTTGCTCTCTTCCGCTACATAACCATTACCAGTTTGTAATTCCGTTGTGATTTGGGATTAGGTCTTCTGACCAAAGAGAGAGAGCCGAAGTCCAGGCACATGAACACGCCATAAAAATATCTTGGCAAAAGGCAATTGAATAAATTGTGACCTTTACATTGATTCCACTGCCGGCGTCGCATCATCCTTGGCTGGCTGCATTCCCTTTTCCCACCGGTCTCTCAAGTAAATAAAAGCTGAAAAACCATTTATTTTCCTTGACTTTTGCACCCTTTTTGGTGCTCCTGTCTCCTGACCCCTGTCACGTAAGCTGCCATCGTACACTTTTATAAGTCCATTTGGGTTTGTATCTGTATCTGCAGCACCAGCACCAGCAGCTCCCCCGTGCGTTACGATTGTGTGTGTATAGCTGCTTGGTTATTTGCGTGGGTTCTCTCGAGTTTTTACCATTTTTACTATTTTTAAATCGGAATATAAATACATGTTGGTTTAGCCACACAGTCCCTGCTAGTTGCTAGTTGGGCGGGTTTTTGTTGAACAAACTCCGACACCATATATAGTGTGCCGCCGATATGAACACATGCTGAGCTGACCACAAGTCGGTCTATTAATACGCGCAAATAAGCCGCTTAATTAGTCTTTCATTTTCGGGTGAAACAACGACCGTGTGGTAGTGGTAGTGGTATTGGCCATGGATTGTGGCTGCCACCGAATGTGGCCAAAAGCTGTCGGATTTGCGGGGCCAACGTGGCGTATGCATAATGAAGATGATCGAAGCGATTCGGCGACGCGCCCATTCGTTCGTTCCACCAAATCGGACGTTAATTAAATGTTGCCATAATAGGATAAAAACTTTCGCCCTTTTTCCCCTTGATTTTGTGGGTACGTTAAGCTCCGTCCCTCCCCCTTAATGAGAGAACATTTACACAGTGTTAACCATAACCATATTTTCATTTATTATGGAGAAACATTGTTCGTTTATTTTAGCTTTTGTTTAAACAGAAAAACATATTTTGACTCTGCTTAGGTTAGCTTCATTTACTTTTTCCTTTCCGTTTAGTTTAATAATTTCCATAATTATTTCTTTGACTATTTTCCTTGGTTGAACCGAGTGCTTCCGTTCGCTCTTATTTACTTAAAAGTCTTATCAAGACCGCTTAAAACCGACCTCTAAATGTACAATTATCAAGTATGAATATTTTACACAGTAACTAGATGATGGACTACGTAGAACAATTTCGCGGCTGACAACCAGATAAAAACTTATCAATATACACTGAATAACCATCTATATATATATAGCCGAGGGTTACCTCCCCCTATATCATTGTGCAGGGTGTATATGAGTGTACTTTTTGGGTGTATGTATGATTTCGGTATAAATAAATAACAATCGAAGGCCTAAAATGTTTGTGTATTTCTTGTATATATACAATCGGACATTTCTGCTTCTGTTAACACAAAATAAACTGTGAACTCTAAACTGTAAAGTGTGTGTTTCCACCGAAAGGTTGACTATAATTGCTGACTTTTGGCCCGTGTATAATGATTATTATGTATGACAAACGAAATGAATTTCAAATTAAAACAATGACAACATACAACTCAGTTTTTCGGATGGCTGAATGAATTGGGGGTCGAAGCAGCTGCTATTTATGGGTTCCTTGTTTTCATTATTATTATTTTTTCTTTTTGATAAGTAAGGGATGTATATAGTGAGTGCTGGGGGGCCTGGACTCTTTCCGTTGACTGTGCTGTCTTGATTAAAAGTTCGTTCGTAATACTGCCTGCCTCTGCCTGTCTCTCCTCTGGGGATGTCTTATAGATAATACTCGTTTAAAGGACACACTGTATATGTACACTAGTTCGTAAGACGCTCCTCCGCGCCCATTAAATGCACCTGGGGAGGAGCGTGGCCCAGTCCCAACTAGGCCGGGACAGTGGCATTCAGCGTTCAGCGTTCAGCGTTCGGCGTTCTTTTGCATTCAGCATCGAGCACTGTTGCATCAGCTCCAGCTCCAGAGACCACCGCCGCCCAGCATCCAGTTCCACTTCCAGTGCCAGTGCCAGTGCATGTTCCGGTTCCAGTTCCAGTTCCAGTTCCAGTTCCAGTTACCATTGCCATAATAGTTGGAGTTGCAGTTCCAGGCGACAGCCGCCAGCGTCATCGCCATCCTGGCAGCGAAGGCTAAAGGCACGGACGTGGCCGGCGGCAGGAGGCGCAGGCAGGTGGCGCTGCTGTTGCCGTGCTGCATGGCGGCCGGATGCTCCCCGTTGATGACGTGCACCACCACCGAGGCGGAGTCTGCAATGGGAGCGGGAAAATGCAAAGAAAATGGGGAAAATGGGGAAATGAGTGTGGTGGTGGCATGGTTTTCAAAGGAGGCATTTGGTGACGGTTGGCAGGTGGTGGAACGTGGTTGGGGGGATGGAAATGCCGCAGGTCACGAATATAGTTGCATTAATTGCCAGTGTGGGTGGGTGTTGTGGGTGGGGGAGCACACACTCGGAAAATTCTTGCCACCAAAACTTTTTAATTTATGAATAGACGAAAGTCACACAAGTTTGAGGAACGACCTTTGAGAGAGTTTAAGACGCTTTGTTCCTCTGATTTCTAAACAAATAAAGCCCCACTTTGGAAACTAAACAACAAGCCAAGTTTTGTTTATAAACAACATATATTATGTTGAACTAATGAGTAGGCCTTCATTAATATTCAAGTTGTTTAAACTGTATTTTAAATTTAAGATGGCATGGGTGGACCTTGTTTTAGTTAGTTAATCTTACAGCTTATTTAAGACCAGTTTCTTAATCAATTTATGCAGTTCTTATATTTATTTTAAAGTCAATATATGTTTCCAGGCATCATAGCTTAAAGTACATTAGTTAATTTCTTCTATATATGGTCTTTTACTTTAAGATTAAGAAAATGTTTTCTTTTTTAATATTTCATTCTATATACCCAAAAAAAAACAATGTAAAAGTAAACTCAAGGCCTAAACTGCCCTAATTTATTTATTCTGTTTGTTAAACCTTCCTGAATGATCCCTCAATTTAAATATTGTCTAAAAATGAGTTTTTATTTTCAGGGTAATAATTGCTCATACGCCTCGTATCCTCAAATAAAATAATGTTTGTGGGTAAACTCAAGGCTCTTTACAATTGCTGACACACACATCAGGCTATTTATAAAGGATATCAATAACTCTCTACACCCACAAGTTAAACTTTAGCTGATGAACAATCAGTCATGTTTCCATTCTCTGCCATTACACAGGCTCAAAAGTTCATAAGACTTCACAGAGATTTTTCTGCCATATTTTTAGACAATGGAAAAAGTTCATGTAACACACAATGCGAATTTATTTTGTTTTTTTTTTAGATAAATTAAAGTTTAAACAAGGCTATATTTTTTTCGGTTTCATGTTTTTTATTTAGACAGCAATTTGAAATATGAAATAATTATGAGGCATATAGTTTTTGCTTGTGTATTTTCAAAGTGTGTCGATGCAGGGGAAATTGGCATATGGCTGGAGTGCTGGGGTGCTGAATGTCGACTCACCTGAGCTGCTCGGGGAGCAGGTGTAGTTGCCCGAGTCCGCCGGCGTGGCCTTGGCGATGAGGAGCTTGCTGGTCCGCGTGGAACGCTCCGTGATGACGTTGATGCCGCCACGCTGGCTATAATTCATGACCCGCTTGCCCTTGTACCAGTAGATGAACGACGGCGGCACCGGCGACTGCATCGCCAGGCAGGTGAGATTGATGTCGCTGCCGCTCTTGATGAAGAGCTCCGCGTTGCCCAGGATCTTGGCCCGCGACACTGCCAAGCGAGAGAGGTGATAGAAAGCCACACGTGGCAGGCAATTAATTAGCACTCCGCCCAACAAATGGCCAACTAATGGGAGCTTCTTCTTCTCTATTCATTCCCAGCTCCCCCACTTGGACTCCATACTCACCCACTACGTTGAGGCGGAAGCCCTGGCTGATCTTGGGCTCGGTGGACACCTGGCATTCGTAGGTGCCAGAGTCCCTGGGCTGGGGTGACGAGATGCGCAGCGTCCACTCGTCGGAGCCCTCCGAGTGCAGCGACTGGAAGCGCTGGTCGTTGGTGTACGTAAGGATGCCCACCGTAAGGATGTGCAGGTCGCGCTTTCGTATCCAGGACACCTGGAGGAGGAAGAATAAACAGTCATTAAATATAGGTAAAGCAGACCTCCTTTTGCACCCCCAAAACACATTAGCTTAAGTTTCTTCCGGCATAAAAAGTTATTTCCTTCATTAAAAGGACCTTTTGCTACACAGAAAACTCATCAGTAAATTGCCATAAATTGATTATGTTTTGGCAATTAAAATGTTTTGCTAGGATTTTTGAGAAAACCTACCCTTCATGTGCACATGAATAGAATTTCTTTATATGTTTTTAATTTAATTAAATTCTAGTCTCAAATTGTTTTCAGCAGAGAAAAGCAATTATATTTTTTAACCTCTTGATTCCGCACAAAAGTGACCTACAAAAATGTGAAACTAGTTTAAAAAAATAATAATGAATACAATTTGAACGAAGGCCTTTACTGGGACAGCTGTACTTGCATGCACCTGTCAGAATCTCGAATGAAAAATTATTTCGTGTTTCTTAAAGGTGTGGCTTGCCTTCATGAATTTTACGAAATGGTTTTTATATTCGTGTGATTCAATATTTATGATATTCCTTGAAAGAAGGGGGCATAATTGCCTTGTGTAAATGCCACTTAAGGACCGACACAATGGAGATTTATATTTAGTATTTTTACCCTAAGTTCTTCGGCTAAAAATAGTACAAACTATTGACATCGGCCAACAAAGTAGTCAACTTTTTGCACGTGGCAAGTTTTTTGATACGCTTTCATGTTATGACATTTTGAAATATGTATCTTCGGGGAATAAATTCGAAATTTGGCAAAAGTTTAAGTGCAAGGAATAAAAAACTTTTTGCTTAATATTCAGTGGAGCGGCAAGCTCCCAATAGCAAATCCCCAAAATAATAACATAAATGCTCTTTTATATGTTCCTATAATTAGCCGGATTTTTGCCAGCAACAAAAGCGTGTTCTGGCTTAAAAGGATTCCAGCCTCCAGGTCTTTGTGTGCTCCTTGTGTTCTACCTACCTGAAGGATGCCTAGGATACTTTGGCCACGAAGCAAATTGAGCAACTTTAAATGGTTGCCCAAAGTTTTCCCATTTGTGGGCGTGGCGAGGCAGCAGGGGAAACTAGAAATTCATTAATTGCCTGTTTCGGCTTTGTCTGGACTCTAATTTATGGCTGCAATTGGGTTACTTAATGCGGCTCAGTCCCGGAGTAGTTTTATGTACAACTCTATATACCTCTATATATATGTATTTATAGATATATATTGTATAAGAGTAGGAGTTGCTTATGCCAATGGAGGAGAAATGAGCGAAACGAAGCTCTCGCTTTGTGCCTGGCTTAATTTCGCCGTTTGTTTGGGTTCAATTAATTATGGATTAGCGCCTGGTCGTGCACAGCCGTGCACATAAAGAGTCCGCTTGATTTATATTTAAATTAATATTCATTCATTAACCATCCGTTCACTAATTTTCAATATTCAATTAAAATTAATTGCATTTCCCCAGTGCAAATAAGTTCAAGGCAAGGCCTTTGGTTAATGCACAGAAAAATGTATAAAAAGTGAAACCAACCAATTAACACGTTCACTAAGTGAATTTTCCACATTTAATACTCCATATAGCACGCAATGATTGATAAATGCAAACAAAACAAACTAAAAGAAATAGAAAAAATATTGAGTTGTTAAAACAGAAAATAATTGCATTTAGATTGCAAGAAACATATTAATTAACAATAGAAAAAATCTTAATAAACGATTGGCTCTTTAAATATTAGTTTAGATGATTAATCAGGCGGAAAAAAGTAAATATTGTTTTAGTTTTTTATACAAAATCAATTTTAAATGATTGATTGATTATGTTTTTATGTGTGCTATCATAGTATTTATTGATTTTAATTCACAGATACAATTTAAATAATTGAGTTGCAATTTGCATTTTAGTTAAGAAACTATTAGCTTAGATTAATTCTATATTACAAATTCTGTGGGATTAATGAGTATTATCTTGTACATTTTATAAAAACAACAATCTATGCTGATTAGTTTTTTAATCATAGAAATTTAGTATATAAATCTCTGTGCTTTTAATTAACAATTTAAAGTTCTAAGATTTTAATCAAGTTTCTTGCCTGAACGCTCTTTCTCTTTCTCTAAACTAGTTTACATCACTTGAACTAAATTTTTGCCAAAGTGATTAAGCTTCGTTTAGTTTTCCTTTTCGTTGACATTTTCCTTTGAGGCTGCCTCACACACGAACTATGCGAAACGAAATGCGAAAAATCCCATTTAGAGGGAAAATTTTCATGTCGTGCATATATTGCGACAATCAATTAGCACGGAACTCGGTGGCACCAGCAGTGGGTGTCGTGCCACAGAAGCTCTGAGTGACTGGAAAAACGGATCTCGAATTGGGATTCGTGCAGTCAGAGAAGCAAGGAGCAAGGAGCAAGGAGCAAAGGACTGAGAGAATGCAACGTGCTGGAGACACCGCCAATTAGCCGCATATAACGGGAGACAATGCCCAGGATGGAGGATTAGGGCAGAGTTCAGTTCCGCTCCAAGCTCCAACACGGCTCCAGCACGGCGTTAATTACTCAATTCCACTGACTTGCTGAAAGTTGGGCGGGCGAACGAGCGTTGCTGACATCGTTGTCAGCCGGGGAGGGGAGGTAGGAGGAGGGTTTGGTTCTCGAAACTCCGCTCGGAGGGGAGCCAGGAGGCGGACACGGACAACGTAAAATTTATTACACCGCATAATTGCACAGCCACAGAGCGACTGGCCGGGACAAAAGGTCGGCGAGGTGGCGGGAACTCGGCCTGGACATGGACATGGTCATGGATTGGGACCAGGACAAGGGACCAAGGACTGGGACTGGCAGGTGGCGGCATGGTACGGTCCGGGGTCCTGTGTGTTGTTGCATTTGCTAACAAATCGCCGGCAGCGGAAGCGAAGCCGTGTTACAAATGTGCAAACCAGAGCGAGCCAAACACACACAAAGGCGAGGGGGTTTATGGTCAGGAGGAGGAGGAGGAGTATAAGGGGAGGCGCATTCCAGGGGGCATCGGGGCAACCATCCAACCACCAACTTTATGGCGTAATCTTTTAAAAGTAATCTACAAATCTGCCACACGACCGCCGCAGGTCGTTTGTTTTGCCTTATGCCTTATGCGAATATAATGCCGGGGACTCGGACCCCGGACCCCGGACCCTGGACCCAGGACCCTCTCCCTCTCCCCGAGCATATTAATTGCTGGCGACCCGACCCCACTTACCGCTCGATCGCCCAGATTCCGGACGCGGCAGTGCAGCAGGGCTGCCTGGCCCACGGTTGCGGTGACCTCGCGCCTCGAGGAGTTGTCGAAGTACGGCTGGGAGTAGGGCGTCTCCCAGTAGTGCGGCGGCACCTCACCTCCAACCAGGCCGCAATCTGTGAACAAACAGAGGATGCATCGCGCATTAATCCCAGCACTTGCAGAAAATAACTTAAAACTATATCAGAAATTGTTAAATGTTATCAGATAAATAACAGTCATGTTACTGATAGTAGAAATGTAATCCCTAACCAATTTGATTGACATTTGGACAGGATTATTTATATTGCATTATCTAAAGGAAGTTGTTTCATGCATATCTGTCTCTCATATCTCATTTGTTATTTAATTATTGAAAATATATTCAGCCATATGCACACAATGATATTGTGAAAAAATACTTAGATGCTCATATTTCACAAGCTGTTTTTGTGGGCATTTGAAGAGGAAGTCATTCAATTTCAATTGAAGCTACAAAAAAATATATATAAATATTTCAAATATGTATATGAACAACGAACGCCGTGGCCCTTTACACATAAATTAATTGATTCTTTTGTTTTTTATAATTAAAATTATTTAAGCCCGTTAACTTTAAAGTAAGCCTCTTAAGTGGATTTGCCACTTTAACATGGCAAAAAATTATAAAATTTTAATTTATATAAAAGCTTTTCTCCTCTGATAATGGGATTTTAAAGGTGTTAAATTAAAATGTTACAATTTCTACTAATCATACCATAAAATCTGTCAAATTTTAGTAAGGTTTTTTTGAATAATTCATTAAATATGGAGAACACTGGTTTAATAAAAAAAAAACCAGAAAGAAATCTAGCTTCGGGAAGCCAAAGTTTACCCTTAAAGATTACAATCATATTATTATATAGAAAATGAAATCTATCAAAATATAAAATATTCGCATTCTTTGAATCTACATATATTTAGTGGTATATTTATATGGCAGTATTTCCGAAAAAAATTAAATTAAAAATTAATTAATTAAAAAAAAAGTTTGAAAAACTCATATCCTAGCCAAAAATGCATTAATTTTATTGTGGAAAGTTTTTCTATGTTTTTATTAGGTTATTAAATCTGCATACTGGATTTATCATATAAAAAACTCTAATTTTTATCAATTTTTGACAATAAACCTCTTACAAAATTTTCAAAATTTGGAAATTTATCGAGACAACAATTTTATTTCCAGAGAATGATTCTCCTGTTGATGCTGATCTAGAATATATGATTTATATGGTAGGAAATGATTTTTCAAAACGTTTCGAGCCTCTGACTAAAAAAAACTGTATCTTTTATTTTGAATACCTAATAATACCTAAGGTAAGCCTTTTTCTAAATCGAATAACACTTTAAACTCCAAGCTAAATATGTACTTATTTCTCTCTGTGTAGACCACAAACATGAGGCATAAAATAGGAAAAAACTCACCGAGGTGCAGGAACAGCCACAGCGGCACCAGGAAAATCGCTTTCAACGCTCTCGGGCAGTCCGTTGTCCACATGGTTTATGCTCTCCACTCGGACTTCTGGTCCTTCGGCTACTGGCTACAGCTACTGCTGCTCTGGCGTTGGAGTCCTCCGCTCCTCCGGCTCGCTGCTGGGCTTGCTCCGTTTACGGTTTAAGGTTTAATAATAATCTGCAAAGGAGGAAATATTATTACCAGCGCGCTTTTTTATGGGGCCAAAGGCGAAGGACGACCCGCCTGGAAATGCGACAAGGGAATGGGAAAGTAATTTGCCGGGCAAATGATGGAAGCGAGCCTGAACCAGGATATGGGGAGGAGGAGGAGGAGAATCCTGCCAGGGCACAAGCCAATATGTTTCCTTTTTCGCCAGCAGACGGCAAATTGCCATGCCCATCGCAGGCAATTGTTTAATACAGTGCGTTTCATTGCCCTCGGATGGTTAAAAGATTGAATAATAACGATAAACATAAAAAGAGATATAATGAAACGTAGAAATTGGAATTGGCTTCGAAGTATTCTAATAATATTATGTACATTTTAATTTAACTTTAAGGGAATATTGATTTGAAAAAGTTTGAATTGGAGGTGGAATATGAAAAAGTTATTTTACTATATAGGTCATCTTATGAATGGCTCTTTTCACAAAAGTTTACAATACTTTTTCGATATATTATTAAGTGCGATTTTTCACTCAACACGATTTATTCACAATTATTTGATATGAATTTTCCCAATTGTCAACTTAATTGCAAACAAAATTGGTCTGTTTATCGTTAAAATTAAAGCATTATTTTGGCACTCCAATTGTATTAATATTATATGCCAGTTGAGTGCGGGTGGATGAATTATCGGAAGAATTAGTTTTATAATTGGGTCAGCAATAGACAAATTTGTTGTGCCAACTGTGCCAAGAATAAATTATAGATAAATTTGCCACCCAACACAGATTCAGATTCAGCCACACACCATTATTCTGTGGATCCTCGGTCACATTTGAACGATTAAACATTATTTATTGATTTACGGCGACTTGTGTGTGCGCATACTTATGGAGCTCACTGCACCGCAATTCCAATTAACAGAATGAGAGAATCGTCGCTGGGAATTCGTCCGAATGGGGGGTTAATGAGGTTAATGCCGGATGAGGTTGTTGTGCAGCCTCCTCAACTTTCAGTTTTCCGACGACAACTCCCCGGGTTGCCACGCAACAAAGTGACTTAACTATGCTGCCACTGGATCTGCATTCATGGGTGGCGGTAATTTTCTAGGGGGGGTACAGGGGTCCTCAAACTCAAGCATATTCCGTTGCAATGCGGCTAAGGCAATTACGGGGGAGCACAAAGGATAAAGGATGATGGGACAACACAGGGTGCGGGGGCGAACCAGAGCACGTTGAATGGAAAACTGAGCAAAAGTCGAAAAACTTCGTGAAGGATGAAATTAAAAAGTTTTCGCAAAACTGAGCTCCTGGCTAAACGACCTTGTCAACTATATAGTTTTATCTGGATAAACTCGATATTCCCCTTCGTCTTTCCCTTTGCATTTGCAAATTTGTCAGTCTGCTGCCATGGTTCCCCCGAGTCTGAGTCGAAGTCAAAGGAGTCGGAGCATGAGTCCTCGAGGCTGTTCCTTTCATTATTTATGGCTCCAACTCAGTAATCAGTCAGTTGGCGGAAGGTCGGGCAGGGGACGGCGCCTAGAACGGTCTTTCATAATCCCGGTCATTACTCAAAAATATACATTTGTTGTCAGTCCAATTAGCTGCGTGACTCCAAGGGTCAAAGCCTCGGTCCGGCGGCCGCCATTTGTTTTGGTCACTTTTGGCCTTTCAGCCATCGCGTCGGCTCCTTGGTTGCCTGGTTTCTTGGTATCCTGGCCTCCTCCCGGATCCCCTGGTCCCTGGTCCCTGGTCCCTGGTCCCTGGTCCCTGGTCCCTGGTCCCTCTCGGTTCCTAGGAAAAAGGTTTCGCGGGCTTCATTTTTTTCGCAGCTATTACAGCGGAATTATCGCCTGGCCGCCATGTCCGCCGCAGTTCCCTTTCTCTCCTGCTCTCCATGGAAATTAAACAAAAGTTGTTTTTCTTTTTGTTGTATTTTTTTATCCGGCTAGCGAACAACATTATTCTGTTGTTCTTTTCCTAACTTTTCAGACCTGTCAAACGGAAAAGGCGGACAAAGGACGACCGCACAGTTTGTCCGGGAAAAAGACCCTATTTATTGTTTGTTTTTCTCGCTTGCCCTTGCCCCCATAGTCGTCGTCCCGCCCCCCGTGTCCTTGCAGGCGCATTAAATTAAATTCCTTCACTTACTGGGTCTCCGCAATGACTTCGAAATGACACCAACGTCATCATCCCCCGAGGTCCGGCTCTTAACTCCTGCTGCGCTTTGTCCCGCGGTTGCCTCAACTACTGCTGGCTTAATCCGGAGCTTACCATGGGGATGGGATTGCGCAACGCGCAATAATTAGGCGGCATGGCGCGTCCAATCAACAGTTCTCGAAAGGTATTCAACAATTCTCTCAACAATTCACCAATGACACACACACAGACGCACACACAGTTCACCAATCAATGCCAGCGCGTACAACAATTCAGCAATCAATCCGTTCAACAATGCGGCCAGCGCTAGGTTTATTTTGGTCTGACTCTTTGTGTGCGTGGCTTAATAACGCGGATTTCGAAAATATTTCCGTTTGGCGGGGACACAGATCCACATAGGGACGCGGATGCGGACGCGGACAGGGACCCCGGACACCGACACGGATACGGACACGGGCACGCACACGATGACGAGGCGACAGGCGGCGAGTAGCGACAAGGACGAGGGCTTTGTATTATTATTTTCACCGATGTGTGTATGTGGATGTTACCACATTAGGTGGCAGCCAGGAGACCCTATAGGTATGCACACCCGCACCAATACACAGCGGAACTCGCACCGACACACACAGACACCGACACCGACGATATGGCAGCGAAGAGAGGTGGCATTTTTGTGTATCCGTCTCGGAACGTGACCAACGGCGGCTCCGTGGGATTTAGTTATTAAACGGCTTTTGGCTTGCGCCTTCACTTCATTCCTTCGTCTGTTTTCATTTTTAAATGTGGCACAATGCTCGGCGATGCTAGTAGCACTTTCTCTTTCTCTTTCTCGTTGGCGTTCTCTTTCCCCTTGCCCTTGCCTTCAGTGACTGTGTACTCCGGCGATAAAGGAGCAGCGTTCACGGGCATCCTTGCGGCAGGATTCGCGTGCTGGAACTGATTCCGTGTCTATCTCGGCATGAGCACAGGACTTGCACTCGTCCTCGGACTAGGGACTCCGAAAACGCTGACTCCGAACGCGTTGCTCTCTGGCGCAGGCGCAGACGCAGGCAGGACGAAAGAGAGAGTGGCGAAAGCCGAAAGCTGTAACCCGAAAGGATGAGAGGATTTCCTCGCAAGCCGGAGCATATCAAATATTAATTTGCCATCCATTTGTTGCCTCTTTCTTTGCATGCCTAATGAGCAATTTTATTTTTAAGGCAAGAAAGGCAAGGCAAGGCAAGGCAAGTCAAGTCAAGTCAAGGGTTCCCGCTCGACTCGAGTTGCTTATCCCTTAACCACAGAAAGTCGGATCGCTTCTTTCTCTCTTACTGAGAACTCTCTTCTACATCCATCTCTTTCGGCACTATCTGGGTTATTAGCACAACCTGCCTCAATGCGAGACACACGAGACACGAGACCCTAGGCCGAAACAGAATCCGAGTGCAAGTCGTGGCCAGACGAACCTAATATGCTCGATAGTCACGTACAAATGAATATTCGTAGTAGAGACGCCTTCGTTTTGGCATATTAATATAGTCTACATTTCGGGGCACGTCCCTTCCCGTTTCGTCGGTGCTCGGCGGCACTCTCTCCTGGCTCCTAGCTCCTGGCTCTTGGCTCCTTGCCTCTGGCCCTTCCTTCGGTCGTCGTTCTCGCACATGAATGATTTACGCCGGGCCATGGAAATGTGATTTTTACCGCAATATATAGGTATAGGTAATGGTATAGGAATCGGAATCGGAATCGGCAATGGCAACGGCAACGGCATCGGCATCGGAATCCCTTTTTGCCAAATTCCTCTTACCCCTTAGACAAGGCAGAAACAATTGAACAGACAGTTATAGGCCAATTTCAGTTTATGTACATGCGTCGCACTCGAGAGAGATGTATGTGTGTGTGTTGGTTGGTAGGTAGGGTAAGGGGTGAAGGGGTGAAGGGAGCTCTGACCGTAAGGGGGGGAGGGAGGTGCAACCAACACCTGTGCCTCGCCGCTTTTTGTTGCTACTCTGGCCATGTCAAATGTTGCGTGTTATGGCCCGCAAATGTGGCTGGCGAAAGCGTATCCTCCTCCTCCTCCCTTTTAGCCGGCCTTTTGCCACCCTTTGGTAGTACCCCCCTTAACAGTTTTAACCTCTCCAGTGGCCGCCCCCTTCCGAAAACCAGAGGCGGGCATTTCAACGCATGCCTTACGAGCTCATAAATAACAAGAAATAAAGTTAAGTTGATTCAGTCGAAGCTTAAATACCCTTGCATAATTATAATGGGTATTTCCACTGATCTTTACTATATTATTCATTAAATATAGGTTCTCTTTTACTAATTTTGTATTTTTAGCAAGAGTATTATGGCTCTTTAGAGAGCTAAAAAAGCATTAAGTTTAGTCTAATAACGATCTTATCTTTAACAGGAAAGGCAACTATGTTAACTTATGAAAGCCCAAGTTTATATAAACTTAAAGTTTACAAATAAATTAGAGGATTAAAATTAAATTAAATTAACATTGTTAAATTCTTTAAATCAATATTGATATTGTTATAAGAACTTTTCTCCGACAAAATAAAGTTTACAAATCTCATAACTAAGCCAAAAATGCATTAAATTCAAGCGGAAAGCGTTCCCATGTAAGTTTTTATGAGTTTAATAAATCTGCATACTCGATTTAGAATATTAAAAAATTATAAAATTATGGAAAAATTAAAAAAAAAAATTTTTCTTCCAAACATGGCAAAATCGATTCGATTTTTGATGCTGATCAATAATATATATATGATTTATAGGTTATAGAAATGATTCCTTCGCTCCATTACAAGCTTCTGATAGAAATTATAATACCCTGCAAGGGTATAAATATCGTATGAATACTATTTATTTCAATAATCTCCTTATGCCATTATACTTATCTGATACATCCAACACAATATCGACTTATCCCACTCATCAAATATTGTTCAATACATACTTTCTTTTGAGTGACATTTCCATTAAATAAAACTATCTCAATACCTCTCCAAGTCCTGATCGATTTGATTTAACTAGAATATAATTAAACACCTTAAAGGTTAAATTATAAATAATAAATAACACCGTCAGTGTCATTACAAACCTCTGCTCACAATTAAAATGCCCCACAAGGGTATCGATGGGCCGCCTGTTCGGTTCGAGCCCGATAAAGTCGAGTGTGCTTGACTGGAGAATGCCCTGTAGGCCTCGTCGTTCTCGGTCAACCAAGCAGCAGCAGCAGCAGCAACAAGGACGCAATGCAAATGAGCAGGGCACTGAGAAAGAGACAGCAGCAGGAGGCACTCGGAGCAAGCCAGCTAGTAGTGGGAGGGAGCGAGGCAGCCAGTGCAGCAGAGAATTGACAGACAATGGCCCTGTAATTGACACGCCACCTAGCGGCCATTACGAATGATTAAAGTTGTTATGGCCCCCCGCCTGCGTTGGTGTTAGTTTGTGCCCTGTGTTGCGGTAGTGTGTGTGCGCGCGTGTGTGTTTGGTTTGACATTTGATTATAAAATTCCATTACCAAACAATTGAAATGGGAATACAGCACAACGTCCAGATAGCCGGGGCGGCATCCCGCTAAGCAGTTTACAAATTCTATAATTAAGTCAGCACGCAATCGGGTCAAAGGGGACAGAGTAGAAATATATAGGGATTTATGCACGATAAAATCTACATTTTAGTAATTTTAATTTGAATATGCAACAGTTTTTCAACTTGCTAATTATAGCTTTTCCTCATATTACATGCTTGAAAACATCTAGTTAAACGCTATAGCAATGCATTTTAAAAAAACAAAGTGGGATCTTGTTCTCTCTTCTATATATGAATTATACTATAATAATCTAAGAATCTAGCTATTAGTATTATTAATAGAGAAAGCATTATATATTTAAGATACCAGAAGTTTGTACTTAAGTTTTAATATTACTTTAAAATATTATTCAAATTCATCCTAAATCCATTTATAATATAAATATGAGAAACAAAGCGGGATCATGATCTCTTTACTATATATGATTTATACTTATATAATATTACTTTAAATATTATTCAAATTCATCCAAAATCCATTTATAAAATAAATATGAGAAGATAATTATTATTATCACTTAGCCTCATTAAACGGTTACTTTAGCATATTCGAAGTATTTTATATCATATGAGAACCAAACAAAACAAGATATAAATGTAGAAAATAGTCTTATGTTTAATTTTAAATCAAATATACAAAACTTAAACCATCGTAATGGCCTCTCTTAGGTCACACCCCGATATCTACTGGGTGTCGGGGATATATCGGCTACGTGGCAATACTTAACGCTCGCTGGCCCATTCAAGAAATCAAATTAGTGGAGCAATCTATCCACCCCCTTTGTGTCCACACCCTCACCTCACCCGCTGCGATGTTATCTGCTCACCTTTTCGCCAGCGAATTTATTGTTGCCAATTAATTTGTTAAAATTAGTGGAGCAGGCCTTGTCGTTGCCTCTGCATTGTGGTAGTTTCAATTGCCGGAGACTACTCTGGGTTGGGTGGGGACTACAAGGATATGGATGTGGATGTGAATGTGGACGTGGACGTGAACATGGACTTCGAGGCAGAGGCGGAGACGGAGGCGGAGGCTCTGTCTTCAACTGCTTATCGATAAGCGAAAGTGGGCAAAGGACCCCCAGACGTCGTCGCCTCCGAAATGTATGCCACGTACACGTATTTATCCATTGCTTAGCTCGCCGACGCCATTTATTGCTCACAGAGAACTGGGGACGTCACAGGGGGAGGCGGCATTGGAGCTAATGGAGGCCTCTGAAGGAAAATGGCTGGGTGCCGGGGGTGTACTTGGAGGTGCGGACCGAGCCCGCTTCCGTTGCCTTGAATGAATGCTAAATTAATTTCAAATGAATACAAATGGCTTTTCGCTTTTAAGACCAGACCAAGCTGAGAAGCGCCGAGCGCAGCAATAAACTCTCTACCCAACACGCACACAGCCGAAAAAAAAGGAAATCAAGTCGAGAATTTTAAAGTTTATTTCTTTGCGCTTCAGAGAACAAACTGAGAAGCACTTTCATATAAAGAGATTTGGCATATAAATAAAATCGTGATTTTCAATTAGTCCTTAAATGTCTAAGCTCTAAAAGGAGCAGGATTAAAAATACCCAAAAAAGGAAATCAAAACAAATAATATTTCAATTTAAAGAGCATTTGAATTTATGGAAAAGAAATCAAAGAAGGTGAAGGTGGATGCTTTGATTTATGATGATTATTTTATGAATTCTCTTGACATATTGCATTTATTTATTTGATTTCATCATTAGGCAAAGGATAGCCTTTTGAAAGAGTGTATTTCTGAAGAATATATATTTGCTTTCAAACGTTTGTAAAAGAGAAAGTGAAGCTTTAGCTTTGTTTGTTATGAACTATCTTAATAGGGACTTAAACTTAAATGTTTATAGGATATGCATAACTTTAAACATAGCTTAGGATGTGTTATTAGTATAAAATTGCTTTCACACCACTTTTAACTAATTTTTCCTATATAAAACTATATTTAGCTCATAAATATAAGGATTTGCATATAAATGTCGCAATGTTTTATACACCTTTGTAGCTCCCTTTAAAGCTGATTTATGTACATTTTTATGGACTTCAAGAAATCCTCATAAAATTTAATATTTAGGTAAAACCTACAGGGACTTTAGCATGCCTTTTAGCACTCTATTTTCCCCCAGTGCAGCACTGAGTCGTTCTGTCTGTTTTACATTTCTTGTTTCGTTGAAATAACTCTACGTCTGGGTCGGCTCCTCCTGGGATTATATGCGTGTGTGTGTGTGTGGACTCCTGGCTACCTTCCTCCTTCAGATCCTTCTCCCAGTTCCGGAGAGAGCCAGCGTTTCGGGGCCTCGATGTCGAGTTTATCAGATGCACTGCTGGGAAATT